AGTTACAGACTCTGTTAAAGAACTAAGAGTTAAGACACTCCTAATCACCCTTCTTTTATAAAATATGACAGCCTTCGAAACAAAATATACAGGCTGCACATAACATCTCATAAGACCTTTCAGAGGTCTTTATCTGACCCCTGTGTTGTGTTGTGAAGTTTTTATAAGAAATAAAAAAAGCAGTTGAACTCTGACCTCTTGGTGTCTTAGCCACTTCATCAGAGCCGGCACATCCAGACTCAGTAGGTGAGGTTCTCTCTCTTGCTATCAGTCTCGGTCTCTGTTGTGTTTAACCTACTGTAGATAGGGCCACACTGAGGAGATTACAAATGAGACACTGTCTGACCAGCGCAGAGAAACACGGCCTGTTAGCGCCCGCCGCACGCTAACATGTTTCAAAATATTCTCAATTATCAATACCTTTATAAATTTGTGAGTGAGGCTGAGTATCCATGATGGACCTCAGCAGTTTGATAAGTGGTTTCTTTGGGATGCCGTGTGCTGTAAGTCTGTCAACCTTGAGAAGGGCATGTGCGTATTAATTTGGACTCGTTGTCTGCGAGTTTATCGAAACACCCTCAGGCTTTTAAACCCAAGCAATAACTAGTACTAGCAGATCGGTTGCTAGTACATGGCATTTAGTTTAGTTAAGGAAAGCAATACATCCCAGGAAAAATTATCCTCGGCTAGAGTGTGCATCAGTACTTTAGACGTACGATATCTTCAGTGCTCGAAGGGTAATCCACTTAAAGCGCAGGCTGTTTTAATAAACAGGTCATAAGAACAATGGGATTGGGTAATGGGAGTGAATCGCTGTTGATAATCCCCAGACGCCCCATCACTCCTCCTTCGGCTTTTTAATTTTGTTGCATGGAGGGAAAAAACACAGTGAAACCCCCTTGAGATGAGGGGCCTGTTCATTTATTCATTATTGATCCCCCTTTTTCACCACCCGTTCAACTAAAATGTGTTAACTTTACTATTATTTGCAAAGGGATCAAGCATTCCCTACTCAACCAATGAAAGACACTGAAAGACACGCTTTGCTGCTTTACTTATAGACGTGATATATTATTCACAACTCGCCAAGTTACACCAGAAGCATCAATGCGGAACAGAAGCATTATTTATATATGTTATTGTCATGTGCTCTGTCAATATAATGCTCCTCATCAATTATACAGCGGAGCAACTCCTTTGATTAGACGTGGGATCGGCTTTGTTTTTCATTTTTGATATTGAGCTCGTGAACATATGATAATGGGAGATTTTCCTCTGATGTTTGTCATTTGCCAAACTTTGAGACAAGGGCGTCGTCGCAGCATCATTAGTGCTGTCGCTCATCTAGAACATCAAAAGGGGACAAAAGAGCCCTGTGATAATATGTGATCAGCCCACAATTACAAAAAACTGGTGATAATACAAAACTTCTGGTTTTTGTCACCTTTTTGCTTTGTTAATCTCTGATTTGATGCTCATTATGCAGAATAAACAATGCAATACCTCCAAATCCAAGTATGATTATTGTGTGTAAATCTGACATTAAAATACACAGGGCTTAGGGGTCAGTAAGTTTTTTTTTAATTATTATTTTTTTATTAATTTAGCAAGGACACATTAAATTGATCAAAAAAGACAGTAAAGACATAATTAGTGTTTTACAAATCTATTTAAAATAGATGCTGTTCATCAAAGAATCCAGAAAATAATTATCTGTTTTCAAAATGAACAATAATAAGACCTGTTTTTGAGCACCAAATCAGTATGTTAGAATGATTTCTGAAGGATCACGTGACACTGAAGAGTAGAGTAATGGCTGTTGAAAATTCAGAAATAAATTACATTTTAAAATATATTAAAATACAATACAGTTATTTTCAGTTGTTATAATATTTCACACAGGCTTTTCATGCCATTTTCCTTAAAACTCCAAACTTTTAAATGGCAGTGTATGTAGAAATTAGTGTGAATGCATAGCATTAAATCACATTTGAACAATAGAGACATTATTAAACAAGTGCATGCAATTTTTTTTATTAAAAATGCATTTAATTAAATGCATTTTATTTTTAAATAACTTAATTATTAATATAGCTATTTTAATATAATTACATTTTCTTAATTTTATTTGTATTTAAATGATTATTTATTTAAGAAGCTTAAAATCTTAACGTCTTAGAACTACAATTACAAGTCTTAGAACTACAAGTCCAAACTACATTATTTAATTTTTGAGTTATAACACATTTATTATTGACTTTACTTCTCTGGCTCAATTTTCCTCTCGAGCAAGATCTATGTTTGTGCAGGCATTCGTAGGAAACCAGAACAAACTAATCATAAGCTTGTGGTGTTTAAAAACACACGTCAGAACGACTGACCGCTAACCAAACAATGGCGGGTTTAGGCGTTCCTCAGGTGAGCGCTCATCAGCAGACGTTCTTCATAAGTGTGCTGGGGATCTTGATTACAAACTCTTTTATTAGGTTTGATCGGTGTGTGTGTGTATGTGTGTGTGGAAGATTAGGGCCAGGGAGACAGGTCTTTACCCTCCAGTGATCTCTGGAATAATGAGGATATGTTACCATGGTGATTCTCAGAGAAGCCTCTGTCACTGTGAAGAACCATTTAAAATCAGTTGCTTTGTTTTTTCTTTGACCATCACTGCCTTCCTGTTCCTAGTTATTAAATGTGCAAGAACTGTGTGGAAGTGTAGAAAAACAACGTGGAACAAACTAAGTACCTGTTAAAATGTAGTAATAATGAAACAAGTTACAGCAAGCTAGTTTTGTAAGCATGTTTTAATCAGTGTTTCGTGATGCTAGAAGGAAAGAAAGGGGAAAAAAGAGTACTATATATCAGTAGAAAAAGCAGTAGGTTGGATTTGAATAGAATCTGCCTGTGACCATGAACCAAAGGTAGTACGCCACAGAAATAGATGACTAGATATAGTTGACACGCCTTTCAAAGCAGCATTAACCAGCTGAGACCTTGCCTGATCTTTTTCTGACTGGTTAAATAGATGTTAATGGAATGAGCTATATGAGTTAATTATAGACGGTAAAAGATTTAAATGATACTTTATTCAAGTCAGTGTGATGACCTTCCAACTCTGACGCCTGCCTAATGTCAACTATTTAACATCACTGAAAGAGGATAAACCAGTAAGATTTTATGAGCTATTGTATGTAAATAAATAAATGAAAACATTAAATACTGTGTCTTTATAAAAAAAAAAAGTAAATTAATCTATCACTGTGATGAACAGAGAGCCAAGAGCACGTAAAGCAAAGTATACAATTTTTTAAAACTAAACATAATAAACTGTATTATAGGTCTAGGCAGCACACAATTGAAATAATTTATAAATTATAAAAATACTTTTGTAGAGCCATTTAGTTTATTTTAGCCATTTAGTATTAAACAAATAGCTTAACAAATGACTTTTTCTGAAGCCAGTGAGGTTAGTGTTAGTGAATGAGACCCGATATTCTATTTTATTTATTTATTAAGCTCTGTGTCCTTCACCATAACATTCTGTCTACCGTTCGAAGGTTTGGGATCATTTAGATTTTTTCATGTTTTTGTAAGAAGTCTCTTATGCTCACCAAGACTGCATTTATTTGATCAAAAATACTGTAAAAACAGTAATATTGTGAAATATTATTTAATATATTAGTAATATGTGCTTTAATATAATATCATATTTATGCAATTATTATTTTTTTCTTTTTTAATACATTATAAAATTGAATTTATCCCTTTTTTCCAAATGCTGAATTTTCAGCAGCATTCTACTCCGCTTATTTGGTGTTCAAGAAACATTTCTTATTATTACCAGTGTTTAAAATAGTTGTTCTGCTTAATATTTTTTTGGAAACTGTGCTGTATACATACACACACACACACACACACACACATATATATATATATATATATATAGGACAATATTTGGCCGAGATACAACTATTTGAATATCTGGAATCTGACGGTGCAAAAAAATCAAAATACTGAGAAAATCACCTTTAAAGTTGTCCAAATGAAGTTCTTAGCAATGCATATTACTAATAAAAAAATTTAGTTTTTATATATTTACAGTGTGAAATTTACAAAATATCTTCATGGAACATGATCTTTACTTAATATTCTAATGATTTTTGGCATAAAAGATAAACTGATAATTTTGACCCATACATTGTTTTTTTGGCTATTGCTACAAATATACCCCAGCAACTTAAGACTGGTTTTGTGGTCCAGGGTCATGTGTGTGTGTGTGTATATATATATATTTTTTTTATTGTTTTTTAAAATATAAATATGTTATAACAATGTAAAAGGCTTTACTGTCACGTTTTATCTTTTTAATACATCCTTGCTAAATAAAAATATCCAAACAATTTGTCAGCTTGCTTCACAAGGTCAAGGTTGTTGATTTGCTCTTACTATTTAAACTCAGAAAGGAACTGTGATTTTCTCCAAGTTTGACATGTTTTGAAATGTAAAGACGGCAACTTGTTAACACTCTTTATAAATTTTCTGGATTTCCTTTTTACATGTGGCTTTTCTAGTTCAGTGTGTGCACAGGTCAGGTGTGTAGTATTTGTGTTGAAGCGCAGTATCTCATGTTAGCCCTGTGTACATGTTTGTGTGTGTGTTTAAATGTGTGCATGTAGACAGATCAGCGGAGAACTCTGGCATGTAAATTGATGTGTGGTTTGAGTCGCTGAATTAAGGAGACGCTGTGACGTGCATGTAACAGTGCTGATGTGTTTAGCAGAGAATACATGATGTGCAGACTCTTTTATTGGGAAAACGCTTTACTACAGCAGTTACAGAGCACCCTACTGAGGGCTCACTGCCGTCACAGCATGATACTGTCTCTGAGTGTTTGTGGATGTGGTTATGCAAGGGGTAAATGGAGGAATTTATTGAAAAGGATTTTTTTATTCTTTAAGAATGGACAAATAATCTATCTTTTGCTCTCTATCTGTCTCACTCAGGTGGTCGAGTTGGCTCAGTTCAGTCTGATGCCAGCAGCAGTCCCACAGAACTTGGTCATATGGGCCAATCTCACCCCACCTACCATGTAGGACCACAGGTGAGAACACACACTGTTTCTCCTTACACAGTTTCATTAATGTCAACATAAAATGGCATTCACAACCCATTTTACATATGAATGTGACATAGGTTTGATTTTATCCATTAGCAACTTACAGGATCATGCAAAGTGGCTGTTACATACTATATACCAGTAGACAGACAAAAAGTAGTGCAAATAGTGTGACACAACCTGACATTAAAGGGTCGACAGATATATGTCGCCAAAGCCAGTATATTGGCTAATATTTGTCATTTGTTAATTATCACATTGGCTGATAAGTGTCAAAAGTTGGACTTTAATTTTGACAGCGCCAAAACTTTTATTTTGACAGTGCTGAGAACGCATTGCAGTGCCTGAGCACAGACACACAGGAGCTCCCATTCTCTGTCTTCATCAGTTCGCTGTCTTTGATTAATAAATTATTTGACAAAACAGTTAAACAAAGACAGTAAGCGCTGTATGAAAAAGTAACATTTGCCTTTCTATTATTAGTAATAGAAAGACAAATGGCAGATTTATGAATAAGAATCCAACCAATTCATTTTCAGAAATCTTTTTCTGATGAATATTCCAAGGAGTGTTCAGTGAAGAACAGCTTAACTTTTGGTTCATTTCTTGCACATATCTATGGCTTCTAAAATCTTGAAATATATGGCGTCAAAGACCACTTTTATAATGCGTTTGTATCTTGAAAATACTTGGAACATCTCATTCCCATTAATGAAAACTGTATGGGAAAATCTCTGATTTTTCTTCTTCTGCAGAATAAAGAAAGTTATACATGTTTGGAATGACATGATGGTGATTAGGGGTGAACTGTCCTTTTAAAAACAGTAATAAAAGATCAATTTTGATGACTTTTTGATGACTTTTTGATGACTAACATCCAACTCAACACCTAACGAATGCCCCAGTAAAACAAACATGCATATACTTTTAGAAAATCAGCTGTGTGTTTTTTTTTTAGGATGAGTAGAACAAACAAGCTCTTTCAAGAGATGGAGAATGATCATTGTCTTTTGCCATATCCAGCTCAACATGCCGCAGCAATGTCCAAGCTCTTGTCTTCTCGTTCCCCTGAGCTCTGCCTTAATAGATGAACCCTGTCAGGACAGTCCCACAGAAACAAACACTTTTCAGCCACACTGCGCTCTCCCTGTGCCATGGCCAATTCCCTTGTTTCTGGATCAATATGTTTTGATGGATTCTCACTCTAGAGACGGATATTGTGTGCACTGCCATTACGGAACTGGATCAGTAAGAGGGTAGTTAGCCCTACATGGGTCCGACTCTATCCTGTGCCTTTGGCTTCATTCGCGCACACTGCTATCAGTCTGATTACGAGTAATCTTTCAGCGTTTCCTCCGCTGGGCCGCTCCCTCCGTTGTTCTTATTAGAAAGAGGAATGGGATGGGGGGTGGGTTAGGGAAAAAAAAGGGTAATTTAATCCCAAAAGCCAGATCAAGAAGGTTCAGCATGTTGCTTATGGGCCAAAGGTTCTTGAGGACACATACATTATGTTCAGTAATCCTTCTGTAACAATTAGTATTTTTAACGATTTGTCTCTTTCAATCATGCCTCATTTTAAATGCTTTTAAAATGGCCATTTAACTTTTTTAAAATCGTGGAATTTAATAATGAAGAATAATTACATTTTGCAGATTTATTCCAAGTTTTTCCATGGTATTGTTTGCAGTATCTTGAAGTACCATTTAAATTATGGTATGTTAATATAGTAATCATTCTGTATGACTTTATGGTAAAACTTTAGTATAGGGAGGGACCAATTCTCAGTATTAACTAGTTGCTTATTAGCATGCCTATTATTTACATTTAGTCATTTAGCAGACTCTTTTATCCAAAGCGACTTACAAATGAGGACAATGGAAGCAATCAAAATTAACAAAAGAGCAATGATATACAAGTGCTATAACAAGTCTCAGTTAGCTTAACACAGTACACATAGCAAGGGTTTTTTAAGTAAAAAGAAAACAGATAGAATCTTATTAGCATGCTTTTTACTAACATATTGGCTGTTTATTAGTACTTTTAAAGCACTTATTCTGCATGACCATATTCTACATCCCTAATCCTACCCAATACCGAAACTTAACAACTACCTTACTAACTATTAATAAGCAGCAAATTAGGAGTTTATTGAGTCTGACTGACTTTATATATCATCATCATTAGTTATCATCATATTAAAGCCATTATCATCTGACACCATCACTATGATACCAGCAAGATTTTTAGTTTTAGTTTTTTTTTGCAAAAGTTACCTTTTTCTCCATACAAAACTATATAGTACCAAAAGAAACAAAATTTTACAATACAAAAAAGTGTGCATTATATATATATTTCAAAAACAGTCGCACAAACTGTTAGTGTACTTATCACAAATATGCCACAATATCTTATATTAATATAAGATATATAAAGTATATATAACTGTATTTTGTGTATGTAAATGGACATTTAGGAGCAGTGAGGTGGTAGCGTGACTTAAACATCCCAAGGGTATTTTGAGTGAGGAGTTGTTCAGCCATTTTAAAGTGTGTTTTGATCCTGGGGGATCCCATTTCACAGACACACTGGGGTTCAGATCAGTTTGTCAGCTGCCTTGTCGCTTAGAGAGAGGGCTGATGGGAAAATGGTGTGAGCTATTAGTGAACCTAACACAAAAAATGAAAGAGAGATGAACCGGTTTTCATGCTGAGTCAAGGAGTATCTGGCCCTCCCATGATTCCTGACACAGACATTCTGCTGGACACAGCACAGTAGTTTGTACTCCTTGCGAAAAGCCCATGAAAATGATAACAATTGAAGTTGTATTTTATCACAGTTAGATTCCTTGTATACAGGTGTTTTTGTGGATGCACTGTGGAAGTTAGTTCTCATCATGTTCTCACCGGTGTCTGAGCAGTAACCACAGGTGTATTTCACATCACATCACATTAACTATGAACATGTTCCACTAATGACCAGAAACTCTCCAAATAATCATTCAAACAGTATATCAAGTGTTGCTATTTAAAATAAAATAAAATAAAAATAATGACAGGTAAAAGTTGTGGGACATGTTTTGTACATAGTCTCAAAAATGAATGAATAAGCCCTTTCTACCAAAGAGCCTATGAATTAACATGAAGATAACTTTCTCTTAAGCTTTCAGTTAGGCATCTGGTTTTAGGCATCTTCAGACTGATGAAAGCTGTTCAGCTCTGTTGTTTAGGTCAAGTGCCCTTTTAATAATTTGCTCAGTTCAGCAAGTGGAGTTCAGAATGGGCCATTAGGAGTTAGTTGATGTTATACGAAAATGCCAAACCCAGTGCTATAGACAAATTTCATTCTTTTAAAGAATTCAAACAAAGCCACACTAAAATGGCTGCATTTTTAAATGTGCGATTTGCTAGAGTCCTGAAATAAACAACATGTAAAATGCAGGTCTTAGAGGTTCTCCTTAATTTAACCCTTCATTTATAGATTGAAACTGTCTGTGCCATAAATATATTATCCTCTTATATTTGCTTAACCCCCTGGCATCGATACATCGGTTTGTCAAAGTTATGACAAAGCCTGAGCTCAGTATACACACTACTGTTCTCAAAAGTTTGGGGTCAGTAAAATAAAATTTTTTAAATAAATTAATGCTTTTATTCATCAAAAATTTAATAAATTGATAATGGTGAGAGTAAAGACACTTATAATGTTTCTATTTCAAAATTTCTATTTCAAATAAATGCTCTTCTTTTGAACTTTATCTTCATCAAAAAAAAAAAAAAAACCGGTTTCCACAAAAATATTATGCAGCACAAACTGTTTTCAGCATTGATAATAAAAGATTTTCTTCAAATCAGCATATTAGAATGATTTCTTAAGTATCACGTGACACTGAAGACTGGAGGAATGGCTGTTCAGCTTTGTCATCAGAGGAATGCATTATATTTTAAAACATTCAAATAGAAAATAGTTATTTTAAATTGTAATACTATTTATATAATTTCATATTATTAAGTTGTACTGTATTTTTGAACAAGCATGCATTTATAGTGAACAGAAACATATTTTGAAAACATTAAAAAATCAGACCGACCCTAAACTTTTGAACGGTATAGTATATTCCAAACCCTCAAGAATGTATCAACATATAGATCTCTTAACTGGTTAATTCAAAAAGAAAAGATTTCAAGCATCTTGTGGACACAGAGGCAAAGCAGGCGATGGCATTCACTTTGAGACTGAGATGAGATGCTGGCAGACAATCTTTGATTTTGTGCCTCAAATAAACAACATCACACACACACTTAAAACAGCAAGATTAAGCATATGTCATACAGCTTTGTCAGAAGAGTCTTTGTTGTCATCCTTTGAGTGGTTAATTGATTTTTTTTTTTTGCATTCTTTTTATGTCAGTGTTGTGAATGAAATGACAAATGACATCTCTCAGTATGTTCTATAAGAAGGGTTTTCATTTTTTGACAAATTCCTTTTGTCTGTTTGTTTTTCCATTTAGATAGAGAAAGAATATTTCATGTTGTTTATGCTGATTATCATTTGATTCAACAGGTTTGTTGTAAACTAAATGTTAAAGCAATGAGTAAACTTTGTCTTATCATACACTTCATATATTTTATTGTCGTTCTATGCTTTTTTTCTTTGTATTCATAAATTACAAACAGTGCTGCATGCCAGAAATTATAAAACTGCTTCAACCAGAAATGTATTCTACTTAACGTTAAAGGCCCCAAATTAAAATTCTGTTGTCGTTTGCTCACCATCATGTTGATCAAAACCCGTATAACTTCCATTCATCTGTGGAGCTTGCTCTTATCTATGCAACTAAAGAGTCTGAGACACTGTTTAACACTGTTGTCAGTGTACAAATTCATCAATGAGGAAACACTGCTTGAACATTATTAAGTCTTGAATGAAAAAGCCTTCAATTATAAAGATGACTGTACAAGATTAAGCCAAAGAAGCAGCAATAAATGCTAAAGGGGGTTATGACAATGTAGCCTGGGTGTGTAAGTGAGAGAGAGAGTGAGAAATTGCTGACTTGTAGGAAGGAGGAGCAGGCTATGTGATAGTTGTGAGTTGTATCACAGACAGGCTTTTTTGTACAGTATAGAGGCGTAAAACAGTGCTTGGGTGAGCTGAAAAGAAAAATGCACTGGTCTCCTGCAGGAAAAGCATTTGATTTGTCAGACCCAGCAGTGGGTTCTGCTAGCACACAGCACTTTTAGCAAATATTGTCTCAACAGTCTCAAAAGTTGTGTTAGCATCAATGTTCTTCTGTATTTTGTGTTAAATTTGGAGATTTTAAGGAAGATTTTCATTTGCATTTCAAACTGGAAGACAAAAATAAATTCATAAAATAATTTTAAGTAAAACATATAAATAAAATTATTAAAAAAGAACACCACTGTGATGCTGCACATCATACATAAAAAAAAAAAACTTCTTGTTAAATTTCCTGTTTGTTCTCTCTTTCAGTCTCTGCTGGTTGCTCAGCAGCTGGCGTCAGCGGTTAGTGGAGTGATGTCCGGTGGAGCTCCTGGTCTGAACCAGCCCATTCTGATCCCCTTTAATGCTGGTGGGCATCTGGGTGGGCAGCAGGGCCTGGTTCTCTCTCTGCCCACTGCTGCCAACATACAGGGCCTGGTGGCAGCCGCTGCTGCTGGTGGCATCATGACGCTCCCCCTACAGAATCTGCAAGGTATGAATCCATATTGATACAGTGAAAAAGAATTGGTGTAGAAACAATTTTAACCAACCTGGTCTCATAAAAATACGTACCTCTGGGTACTTTTCTGCAACACCGTTTTTACGCACCTTACTGCACGTTTCGCCGCAGTTTCAAAGAGAAATGTCCACTGAGTGGCGCTAAAACACGGGTTCAATACGTGAACCCTGGCACGTTTTTATCATGTTGATATAGGTACGTATTGCTGTGTTTTTATTACGTTGCTTCAGGTACGTAATTGCGGTGTTTCAGAATTCAAATATCCGGGGACTGTCGCTAAAAGTTAATGCTCTATCATGCTGGAAATATGCTCTACACCAAACTCAACCATAAACCTACCCGATAGTGTTAACAGATGCAAAACTGATATAAAAACGCATTTGTTGATGCAACCGTGTCATTTGAACTTCCTTATATGCAGATTTGAACTGTTTTGTCAAACCGTAGTTACACAGGATTCGAACCGGAGCTCCTCGCCTCTCAAGTACGTCTCCGTACTCCGTGAGCTACCGAATAAACCTACTGTCCATGAAAACCAATTGATATGAAGCTGGATATGTGCGATGCTAACATTCAGAAGCAGCAGTTTTCAAATCTCCCAGCATATTAAAATTGTTTTGAAGTCATAACATAATATTCTTCAAGTAATTTTGCGAAAATTACGCTTTATTAATCAAAACTCTGTCAATTTGTGTGAAAAGGAATAAAAGGTGTCGGAGTTTTACTGCCTCTAGTGTTCATTTCTTTTGGAAACTGCAGTGATATGTACTTATTGGTACGTATTTCGCATCTCGCGAAAAAGTGCCCCCAGGTACGTTTTTGCCACGAGACCAGATATATTTTAACACATTGAATTAAATATGAATCTTTGAAGTAGAAGTAGAAAAACTGAAACAGCAAAAAGTTCTTCAGTACCTTTGTATTATTTACAACTACAAAAAAATTACTTTTTACAGTGTAGTGTATCAGTATAAAATTATAATTTTTTGCTCAGAATTTTAGAGAATGTAAATTCTAATACATTTTTTATTTGTATTATTAATATATGTTAATATGGTCTTGTCTAAGTAATTGCGTTTTACTGTAATTCTGACTTTTGTAAGTTAATATGCGTACATATAATGCATGAGGACTGTAGAGAGCATGAAAACAAAGCCAAAACCTTGACATTTTAGGCAATTTAGAAATCCCAGCCAGGACATGTCCGGTAAAGATGTTGGTCACCCTATTATAATTTGAGAATTAATAATGTTAATATGGTCTTGTCTAGGTTGTGGTCTTTTTACTTGAACTCCAATTCCTGGCAAAGTTTGCATCTCGGGTCATACACATTATTATCATTGTTGTTGTTTTTTAATATTTAAATCTATAAACTAAAAGGAATAGTTGTTATAAATTGTGTTCAAAGCACCATATCCTAGTCAAATTCTACAAGGAGAAATCATGAAAGCATTCTTTATTATACAACATTCAGTCTTCAACAGTTTGTTGTGTTTTTGGGACTTGTGAAAGTGGTGCCATCTCAAAGTAGCATCACCCCATCTAAACAGCACGAGTTTTTAGACGTACCTACGGAAAGTGCTTGAAAAGGCCGAGGACAGGAGGATCAGAGTGATATAGGCGTAGAAAGTAGTTCACATTCATTACAGGTCAGCATTTTGCAACGAAGCGCAAAAGCACTTTAAGGCTCTTTCTTCTTTCACTAGGAGTGTTCACTAGCATGCTTGTGTCTTCTTCTCCTTACCTCTGTCTCTCCCCCTCCTCTTTGCTTCCGTCCGCGTGTCCATACTTCTCCTCGCCTTTTAAACTTTAATGCACAAATGTTCTCTTTTGATCATAGTTGTAAATGGTTTTCATTTTAATGTTTAAAACATTGTCTCTTTTATACCATTAGATTGAGGGGTGGAAGGGGAAACCGTCAGTCATAAATCTTAGATGAGGTGCCTTCTCTAATGCCTGACTAAAAAAATAGGTTATAAATTTGAGTGCATGTAAAATAGCACGTTTTCCTTTTTCGGAGGAGGAGGAGGAAGCCGAAGATTAAAATAATGCACGGCAGGAAACAGGTTGTCCCGAAGAGATGGATGGACGGATGGCTAAAATAGTGGGATGGAGAAGAAGTCTCTAATGGACACAAACATGCATAAATAACAACACGCATCAAAGCACATCTAGGCTTTTAATAAACACTCACATGGGCTAAATAAATATAAAAAAAATTCCCAGAATTCCCTCAGTCACGATAATGTGCCTGTGGGGCCTGCTTCACATTTCGAAGACTCACTAAAATGGACCCTAGAAAGACGTTCTACTTTGGAGTGAATTTGAATGCTCCATTAATTGTCTGTCTTAAACTTCTAGCGTTTTAGCTGGACATTTATGCTTGTTCAGCAACAGTGTTGAACAAGTCTTTTTTTCATCTTAAAAGTCTGAGACTATATTGAAAATCTAGAATTAAGAATTTAATTTAAACTTGGCCTAAACAAAGTAATAGTATTTTAGTAAGTTTTAGTAAAACTATATTTTTATATTTTTATTTTGTCACATCGTGTTGCTATAATATTTAAGTAAAAAATAAAAAATAAAACAAAAAATTTAATGATATAAAATAATATTAATAAAAAATGATTGTTTACTAAATTGTTTAATATTTATAATTTTGCACGAAAGGAGGACAAACCAAATACTAGGACAATTTTTTGTTAACATTAAAAAAAAAGTTTTTGAGAAAAAAAATTAAAACAAAATAAAAACAGTTCAACATTTGAGTTAAATTGTTAATCAGGTAATATAATCTGTAATAAAGACTAAAACTGGTCTGACACTTTTCAACCCCACTATCCTGAGAATTTAAAGGAATAATTCACTAACAAATGATTCATGTTGTTCCAAACTTCTACGACTTTCTTCTATGAAACATTTTGAAAAAAGTTTCAGTGTTTTATTTATTTATTTATTAATTTTTTTACCTTCATACAGTTAAAGTCAGTAAGGTCCAATGTTGTTTGGATCTCAACATTCTTCATATTATTATGTTCCACAGAAGAAAAAAAAAAGTCATACAGGTTTGGAACAACATAACAGTGAGTTCATTTTTGGGTGAACTGTCCCTTTAAATACTTCTTGCACTCAAATTGTGAACATTGACATTGTATTTATCTGTGGTGCAAATGCAAACAGAAAAGTGCTCATTCTAAAAAATACCCAGCGATAAACTAGTGTGACTTATTCTGACTAGGCCTCTCAGTTTTAGATTCAGAACGTCTCGGTTACGTATGGTAACCTTCGTTCCCTGAAGGAGGGAATGGAGACGTCACGTTGGATGACCGACGAATTGGGATCTCGCTTAGAGAGACCAATCTACTTTGA